TGTTCATAAAGGTTACTCTAAGCAAGTATTTGAGTCATCTTTTCCTGTCATCGTCCCTAGTTCCTTTGGGGTTCGAGAGATGTCTATTTCAGCAATTGATCAAGGTTCTTTGCCTGCTTCAGAAGAAAGAAAAAGGAGTCGGGTTCTCTGCCTGCTTCAAGAGGAAGCAAAAGGAGTTGGGTTCTCTACCTCACCGGTGTCGATGGAAAGGAGATTTGTGCAGGCTTATTTGCCTTACTGTGGGAGAAAAAGGAGAGTCGCTGAGTTTAGAGCAATATCCGGAGGAGAGGCTCCGGGGAGTGGACGTAGATCAAGTTGACCGAATCATTATAAATTTATGTGTTTTTCACTATTGTTTTTTTTGCATTTAATTTTTGCATATTGATATTCTTTGTGATAAATTTTGGTTTGATTTGAATTTCTATTTTTTATGAGAAAATTTTTAAAATACTAATCCCCCCCCCCCCCCATAATTAGCCTTGGGCTTGTTCATAAGGGCTTAACATCTCTAATGAACTTTCAAGTGGTATCAGAGCACTTTCATTTGTGACGTCCAAGGATCTAATATAATGATTGAACTTGATCAAATGATCTATAATTGAACATCTCTTCATAAATAATAAACAATTAGAGCTACTTAATTTTCACATATAAAAGTAGGAAAAATAAACTTTCATTTGACCAAAACATAATTATATAATCCAGTCAGCTTGCAATTCTAAATATTAGAATAAATAAAGTTAGATTTCAAAAGAACTAGTACCTCAACACTAGAGCTCAGAAGCCTATTTCTACAATCCTCTACTAAATTGGGTCTTTCCTTTTTCTTAAAACTTTTAAAAGTAATAGAGTGAGCTCAAACAACTCAATAAACTCCATCCTTCACCATTCACAGATATTAACATATGAAGTAAATATTTAAAAGCAACTAATTAAAAATAGTTAATTAAAAGAAAATACATATAAAGACTTATAAATACTTAAAGTATAAGCATAACAAAAATTTATCATAGCTCTAGTATATATATTTGATCTTAGAGCTAGCACTTATATTTTAATAACCATATAACCACTTTTATAGAATTTTCAGATACCATACATAATGCTCATTCTCATATATTCACTTTCATTTCACTTTCACTTCCACTTTACCATTAGATTTCATATAGAAATTTAGAATTTGTTGATACATATTTAAAATACTTCTTAAACTTATTTCAAAAATATTAACATATAAAATGTTATTATTAGAATGCACATTTCTTGATGTCTGTTTATATCACAACTTTTACTTATTCTCGTTTTATCTCCCACTCTTGTATATAGCAAGAGGTACCAGAATCTATCTCACATATGAATCATACCGATTAGGCCACAAAAGTCCTTATAATGTTACATAATTTCTTAAACCTGCTTTTAGTAAGTGGGGTCAAAATCGCTCATACAATTGCATCATAGATGGGGCCAGAAGAATACATTTAGGGCCCTTGCAATATAACATAGACTGTACTTTTCCACATATTAGAATATATCTTCTCCAATGCTATGTAAGAATGCAAATGCAATGCAATAATACATAATTTAAATATCTAATGAAGTATTCAGATGATGTAAGAATTGCTAGTAAAAATTCATATTACTTATAATTCCAGAACAAACACGCTTCTTTCGAAAATTTGGCCTACTTATAAATCAGATTACTCACTAAACTTTTTCTTTTTGATTTCCTAACTTCAAAGGAATGTTCATATGAACATTTCAAAATTTTTGTATAACTACTACTCTTGTTAGAAAATTCTCTAATTTATAATACAGTTAGAAAATCATGTGTCAAAATGTTCGTACAAAGGAGTGCATTAACATATTAAAAAACAGATGGTGGATACCTAATAAAATCTGCAAAAAAAAAATATTTTTACTCATTTCTTTTTATAATTTATTTGAAAATGAAATAAGAGACAAGGGTTTATGAGTCTACGTACCTCGAGCTCAATATCTCGAACAAGACTGATGAATAATTCACAATCTTTGGCCTATATATTCTCTCTCACCTTTTCTTTCTCTTTTCTCCTCTCCTCTTATTCTTCTCCTATCTTCTTTGGCAATTAAGGTTGGGGTGGAATGAAATGAGCAATTTGTTTTAGATACTTTTATATTTAAAATCTACTAACTTAATGTTGCTGCTCCCAACTTCCCAACATTGTGGTGCCAAACTTCCCAACATCACGACACCCAACTTCTTAGTGTTGTTGTGCTCCTAATGAATATTCTAGATTCCTCCAAAATATCGTCACTTGAGACCCAACGCCACAACATACATTCAAAACTTATTTTTTGCTATAAAAGTAAGAGCTTGATGCCAAGGGGCCTTCACCCTAGTGCCACAATGCTCACAAAACAACTTTTTTAACCTTGGATTTTCTTCTTTTTAACCCCAAATATTCGTTACTTACAATCCCAATAACCATCCTAAAATTCATAATTACTAATCAAATCAAAATTAATAATCATTAATAATAATTACCTAGATTTTGGATATTGGATATTATATTCTTGCCTCATTAAAAAAAATACTATCCTCAACATTTCCAATATACAGTACAGTACAATTAGAATAAATCCTGATAAAATTGTCTTATCTCAATCTCTTTTTTTTTTTAGATTTCGTCTCTCTCGGTCGATGCTTCCACTGAACTTTAGCCATAAAAATCCATTATTGTGTATTCTTTAATGTCGAAAGCTAGAATGCTTTCATTTTTTTCTCTATAGGTCAAATTAGGTTGCACCTGCACTTCAACTATTAGAACTTTATGATCTACATCTGATAATATCTGACACCAAAAATGCATTATGGATATCTAACATATGGTCTGAGAAAAATAAACTTCAAGAAGATTTTCACTGCAAGAAAAATGAGTGTTACTAGCGGCTAAAATCTGTCAGAAAATGTCCAAAATCCGTAAAAAATTA